TATCAAAAATCTCGCCTTGTTGTGCGCCCACCTTTGCGAGAGAGTCTGCCTTCTCATTGCCTGGGATTGAGCAATGTGAGAGGACCCATACAAAGGTAATCATATATGATCTTTCGACCAGCAAACTCATCTGCTCCCTTACCTTTGAAAGGAAATAAGATGAGTGCCTACCTTGTTTCATCGCCCGAATAGCCTCAATCGAACTGAGACTATCCGAGAAGATGAAGTAATGGTCTATGGGCATGTCGGAAATCATCCCCTGATTGTTGGATAGTTGGAGACCTTTAGAATAATATCTGATCAACCTGAAGTAGCATAGTATAGCATAGCATAAAGCAGGTTGCACAATGTCTTAGGTGGTACGAGCTCCAAACTGTTGTTAAGAAGGAGACCCACCTTCATCCGTTGTTGTTAGATAGTAATTTGTGATTAATTACTACCTCTTAGATAAAGGATATGTCTCTTTCCAACAGACCAGAGCTGTCCTGTGTCCTGGCCACGTCCTTGCATCTGGTGGGAAAAGGGGAGGAATGTTAGTCTGACACTTACTTAAGAGAGATGCTGAGAACTCATCGACCCCTCATAAGTGTCACCGGAAGGGTGGATTTTTGTTAGTAGGGAGGGTAAGCCATAGGATACGCCCAACCGGCGTTACTAGTAATCGTTAAATCAAGCATTTAATAAATAGAAGCTGTAAGTAGTTTATCTGTCAGTTATTCCTGCCCATTACCTAAACATATATTATTCAAAGCAGTCTTCAGATTTTGGAATTAAGAAACGTTATCAGGTCGATCCGATTGCTCCTTTGCGCTTGAAAATGTTTGTTGATCCTAAAAATATGCACATTTCAGTCTGATCGATAGGAGGTTCTCATGTATAAAAGGTTATTAATAGTATGTGGAATCGTAGATTAGAATGAAGATTCGCCCTTGGCCTAATTCTTACTGTCATGGCATTATGGATAACATCTGCCTGCAATCATTTCTTATGAATGCAAGAAGCTTGAACCCGGGAGTTAATAGGCGATAGCTCTACCGCAGTTACAATTTCAATTTCAAGCCCGTTTCAAGAACGCAAGCATTTCGAAGCTATTTTCACACATGATAAACCCTGCTCCATTACATTATCGATGCAAATATACACCATTGATAATGTTCTGACACTTTCATTCAACCAGTAGTGCAATAATTGATTGACGCGTATTTAGTAAGTTTTTAAATGATCGTCTTGAATTAGATGGATATTTCCTATCGAGGACAGAGGAACGAAAAGGGAAATAAACTTAGCTGAGCGTAACTAAGCGTAGGTTAGAACAGTCGGCACTACATGCAACGGATAAGAATTTGAAAATTTTCACTTAATCCACTTTTCAAGATCACTTCTGTACTTTCAAATTAACACTTTTTTAAAATGAAACTTTAAATTTATACCATTTTCACTAGAACGAAAACGACGCAGCAAAACAAAAACGCGTCATTTTCGCAGCGCGGCCTACTTCGATCTCTCAATATCTGATCAACCCAAGGGGTTGGTCACTCTACACAGTGTGCCAAAATCAAACTTGGGCACACCCGGGCGAAGTCATTGGTGCTGTTTGGCACCCATGGTTACAATTTATATGATCTTTGAAGCTACTGACAACACTGAACTTTTTCTGCGTTTGCGCAGTGTGCATGTGTCAAAATTTGTTATTGATGTTGCTACAATATAATCAAATTATTTTCAAAACAACCGTGAATTTCCACCAAGTCTCGCCATGGATTCTCAAAATCGTTACACCCGTGACGGCAGTCGCATCCACATTTCCTCCCAGACGAAGAATAGCTGACATCGGTATCTTGACCTGACCGAGGTTTCCGGTCTTGACTACACGAACTAGCGATGCAGCTCCCACGGCTGCGGATGCTGGTCGAATTTTAGAGGAGGCGGACCAGAAGAAGGATCAGCAGCAGCAGCAGCAGCATTGGAAGTAGCCGCGGAAGTTGCATCGCTAATTCGTGTAGCCGTGGTCGACGCTGGAAATCTGGGTCCGGTCTCGACAAGCGGTGCTAGAGATTTAATCGGAAAGTCAACAATCAAACAAAAACTATACCATCCGACCATTTGAACTGCTCGAATACATCCATGGCGGTGGCTGCTACACCAACCATTCCATCGTTCAACGTATAATGTTGGAGGACCGTCTTGGCAAAATCTCAAATAGTTCAACAAATTATTTTTACTCTCTTGACTTTTTGCACTTTCAAAGCTAACGTGTTTTCGATGTTCTCGTTGCTCCACGCACCGTTCATCTTCTTGGAGGAAGAGGAGAAGCACAACTTCATAATGAACGGGAATTTCAGGATCGACCGCGCTGTGGTTGCACTTCATGATGGCGTTCGCCAGGGTTGCTTGAGAACTCGACCAATCCGGTGGAGGAACTTTCCGATTTCAGCGGGAACATTCGCACTTGCGACGGGTGGCTGTCCTTGGTGGTGAATGCAGTCAGCAGCAGATCCTCGAACGGCATACGGATGGGCTATTGAAGAAGTGGAGAATGCGATTTTTGCTGGCCTGGGAAGCGATTGTTCTTGGAGGCGCTGTAGACCTTGAAGCTGATCGAATTGTCCGGCAGGGTGTGCGGGTTGGTGGACTCTGACAAATAGTTCTGCTAGGAAAATGCATTTTGGATTTTGCTACCATCATTTCCATCCATTCGATGATGCTCAAGTGCTGGATGCTGCGTTCGACTGGTTCAACTACGATGGCATCTCCCATCTGGACCATGGCGGTACCCTCGTTGGTCTTCAGGAACTTTATCCTGACCGAGATCCTGACAACATTTCCATACAGGCAGAACAGATTGAACAGCTTATCGGGGTTGGCTGTGTTGTTATCGAGTCCGTAGACCATCATCACTGCGCCCTGTTGCTGTGCCGGTTGAATGAAGTTGACTGGTCCGTTTCGGGTCAGCGGTGCGTCCTTCATCAGTCCGACGTGTGTTCCGGCCGGAGTTGGTTTCCAGTTTTCCGACGGATGATAATCGGGCGGTGCAAATCCGTTTCCTCCGCCGGCTCACAGAAGGGCTGGTTGACTAATGATTGACGTTCGTTGTGCGGAGTCGGCCTTCCGCAGAAGATGGAAGGATCGTGTAGCAACGGAGCTCGTCCGTTGCAGGCATCCTTGGAGACGGATGCATCCAGCACAGACAAACAGACGTAACTCTTCATTGTGTATCTTCGTTCATGCATTTAACGGTTGTTTTGAATATTATCAGTTGCGCGAACTACTCGCCGCAGCGCTGGCATCGGATCACTTTGACGTTTCTATACATTCTATAGAACTTTTATGCAATATTGTTTGCGAGCTAGCGAGCAAGCTTGTTTTCCGCGAGAAGCCTGAGAGATGTCGTTACTGAGGTCATATGTTTTGAGATACTATGTTTTCAAGAAAAACATTTTCAAAGAGTTACGTCTGTTTGTCTGTGCATCCAGTGTATAGTCCCACAGGGAGTCCGTGTCGTTTTTGAAAACATTGAAAAACAAAACAAAAACAAGAGCTGTTAAAATACAGGGTTGCCAAGCAAGGCATTATTTACAAGCAAACAAAAGTCAGTTCAATGACTTCTTGGCACTGCCCGTACAGCTGCGGCACCCTGAGGTACACTGAGAAAAATGTAGGCGCATAATAAGTGTGTAGAGTGACCACCCGTTGGATCAACCTGAAGTCTTGAAAAAATATAAATAGGACTTCATGGAGACCTTAGATCCCCTGAAGATCGTTGGAATAATTTCTGAGCTGAATGGTATCATATGTGAGAATATCTGCTTGATGTAAAAGACGCAAGTGTTTCATGAAATTCTGTAAAAAAATTAAATAAAAAAAAAGTTGTTTTATTATAGCTAACTTGTTTACAAAGTTAGTAAAATAAACGAGTTTTCAGTACTGATTATGGTTTACTGGAACAGTCATCAAACTTAATTACATTTACTTTTTGTCATTGTCCTCCGTTCCACCTCATGTACTTGACTTCAGAAATTTTGAAAACAGCAAATTCATCTGAAAATCAACGCTGGAGTACAGAAACAGCCATGTAATTTATGCACTGCTGTATCGACTTCCAGATGTTCCATTTACTTTGAAGGAAAAACATTAAATTGCCTGTAGAGCTCCACACTTAGTCACGCAATCTGGCACACAAATAAAGCAACCAGCCGACTAAACCGAGGAAGCGTTGATCACTCAAGCAGAAATAGCACTGGATTAGCTCAATTAAAGCAGCATAATTACTCCTCTGCCTCTAAACATGTTAACCTCGGTCCCCAAATTTTAAATCGCCAAGATTCTTTTTATATTTTATCACATATTATTTATTATTTATTATTTTTTGTTCATCAACATACTGAAAAAGTCAACATAAAAATATGTAAAACAATATTTTACTAAAACTGACAGCAATTATTTTACTGATTAAAACGGTAGCTTTTGGCAGTTCTGGGATTTTACGATTTAAGGAGTTTTTAGTTTACCACAACCACTGAGTTGAATACTGAAAACTCAGCTGTTACCAGTAAAATTCTACCGACTTCGGTCATCTTATCTCTGTGTGAAGGAATATGGGTGTGCCGGATGAATTTGAAATGAAAGCACTTCAAATTGTTAGTTTTCACATCACATGTATGTAAACAAGCATACAAACTTGTCAATCAATGATATTGAACCGCATGGCCTGCTACAATCGGTCCCGTTAGCATCAGTCCCCATCGAAAGTTGCTCACGAGAGGGTGGTAGGCACTCACGCTCACCCGCCGCCCGGAGTTCCATGTTTTTTGGAGATGTATCACTTCTCATCGAAGTCTCCCCTGTTTTATATCGTTTCCAATCGGTGCTTTTTCTCCTTCGCTGCTCTGCTGTTTGTGGTGGTGTCTGTCGTTTGGGGGGTCAAATCGCGAGAGAACGTTCTGTTTGTGCTTGCGCTGTGCTCGCTCAGTGGTCAATGGGTTCGCTCCCCGCATCGGCAAACTCACTTTGATTTGTAATGTCGTTTGGGTCGAACGTGTCCGTTTCGCTGTCGAGCCTCATCAGATAAATTCGCCTCTCGCCTGGCTGCTGCCGCCCCTGTGTGTCATCATCCAAGTAGCCATCGCGTTTCAGAAGCTGCTGGTGCGTCCATTACATTGTGTACGAGGGCTCCACAGCCGCCAGGCCTGCTTAGTGATTTTTGTTTGTTTGTTGGGGTTCTATCGAGCAGAGTGCCGTGAGGGGAGAAAAGTTTTCCTCCGTAGCGCCAAAGCGAGGATACCGTAGCAGCATCCACTCTCAGCTGTTAGTGCGGTTGGGGGTTTCGATTCTGGCTTACAATCTTATTGTTAGTTTGCGAAAATAGCGACGAGAAGCAAAAAGTGCTGTATGTGATTCTTTTTCTCAAGGTGGTTCAGTTGTGAAGTGAAGGAAAAGAGCAGAAGGGAGTGTAGTAGCAGGAGCAGCGGTAGCGAAGCGTTACGGGCAGTGTGTGTAGAGAAGATACAAGTTTGCTACAGCCCTGACTCTCGAGAAGCAGAGGGAAAAGTTGTGTATGTGTTTTTCGGCTTTGTACGGAGAATAGTGAGCAGCCGAATTAATAATTTTTGCGAGTTTTGAAGTAATACAATTTATTAGATTTTCACGCTGATGGTGGATTGAGTTGGATGAACCGTAAATTCTGCTAGAAGCTCTCAAGAACGAAGCAACCCGAAAAGAAACGATGGCCTACCTTGCAAAACAGTACACCGAACGTAGCAGGCAAAGGCAGTTTCGATTTTTGTCTACTTCGACTTACGCTTTTTCCTTTGCAATAGAGCAATAGAGTGCAAATGCATGATAATACAATAATTGAATTAATAATAATCTTTTGTGCCTGTATGGTTGGAAGTCACTTTGGCAACAAGTTTCACTCCAGTCTTTGCTCGGCTGTCTCATTCACAGTTCCGTTTTTCCTTCTTTGGATCACTCTACCAAATCCAGCCCGACATAATCCTATAACCTGAATGGATAAAGCAAATTTATATTCATAGAATTCGTACACAATTATCATTGAAGTAATTTTTGACAGATCGGTTATCGATTGTAGTACTGTTCTCATTATCACTCAATACAGGCATCACTATTGATGCTATGACTTCTACCCATTAGCAGGACTTTGTGCAAGGGAAAAACATAGAACAGTAATTAATACAACAGCGAGCGGAAAATTGCTTTCGAGATCCATTCTGCTTTCGATTTCCATTTTTCACGGTGAATTTTCCATCCACCACTTCCACCAACACACTCATATCAACGACGAGAGACAAAAGAAAGAAAAAAATATCTGAGAAGCTGAGAAAATTCTCTTTTCCCGAATCTGGATCTGCGCGCTGAGTTTGTGTATGTGTGTCTGTGTGGTACGTAACAAAAACAGTAGCAGTAGGCCACGGGGGGGAAATTTTCGAGTGAGAGTAATCTGCACGGAGCTCAGTGTTTGTTGAGAGAAAGGAAAAATCTTGCTAAGTGAAAGTTCGCAATCTCGTGACGTACAGGTGGTGGTGGTGAGTGCCATGCACACATACAGATAAACCCACGCACATACACATACACAAACGAATCGGAGGCATCTCGTGTCAGCACGTGTGTGAGAGTTAATCCTTGTCAGAACAAGGATCTGGGATTTCAGCGAACAATAATTTACCTATTATCCCGAATACTAGCCGCGGTGAGCGTGAATCCGAAGCAACAGAGCAACCTGTGCTGGTTAACTGGAAAGAAAGGATATAGGTAGAAGAAAAAACATAAGAAGAATATAGCATAAAACACGGTAGAATTTTCACGAGTGTGAAGACGGGCAACCAGTGCGTTTTTTCATAATTGTGGATTTGTGAGTGTTAGGAGGAGACAAGGAAAAAGTGTACCGTCATCATGGCTGACGAGGAGAATACCTTGGACGAGATGCCCATGGCCGAGAATAAGTTCGGGATGCGAAACCGCGGCCGAAAAGGAGCGCTCAAGAAGAAGAACGTCTATAATGTCAAAGATCATCGCTTCATTCCGCGCTTCTTCAAGCAGCCCACGTTCTGCTCGCACTGCAAGGATTTCATCTGGTGAGTAGCGAATCATAACAGAGAATCTTCGCCTACTATACCGAACCGAGGAGCCCACTCAAATATTGGAGGAAAGTGGGGAACGGAGGGTCAACAGTCCCATTCCATTCGTATTGAAACGCGAACTGTAGTAGGCGTGGGAAAGGTTCAATTTCTCAAAACACCTTATTGCCCTGGAAAGAGGTTCGCGGGGAAGGGGGATTGTTTCTCCGGTGGGGTCGCGCTAAACTAACCAAGCGATGAAATGATCGATGACGAAGATTTATGGAAAGGATTTGCATTTTCCGTGCGATAAAACTTTTTTTTTTTTGCTCCGGAAGAGCAAGCGAACAGATGCTGTTTTGGGCATTGTTTGATGGCGAGGAAAATCTATTGTGACTGGTCGGAAATTTATGGCGGGGATTGAGGTTTGTCGTTCCCTTCGCTGGTTATAACTGGGAGTTAGTCAGTAGCTGTCGCATGGTGAATCGATGAAGAGAGTTTTGATTGAGGTTGTTTGCGTTTAATTAGAATTCATAATTCATTAGACAAGTTGACTGTGTAATGAACTTTGTTCTGTTGGTAGTCTTAATAGATGATTGGGGGTAATTCGGTGTCCTTTTGCATTAAGAAGGACTGCTATCTTAAACTTGCATGGCGTGCATTCCAGGCTCGACATCTTTGAAGAAGGTTTAATCAGGGCGAGTTTTGAACCAGAACATGATGACTCGAAACCCAAAATGGCATCAGATATCTTCTTGCAGTCCTTACACGTAGCACGTCATCTCCATTCCAAAAGTACCCCTATTGTAAAAGTCAGAAATTGATGTGATTTCGCAAACCGGAAGTCGCAAATTTGGATTCCAAAATGACATAACACATAAATTTGTGGATTCTACACGTCAATTCTATTCCGAAAATATTTTTATTGTATGGTGTTGTGCGTTTTTCATTAAACTGGAAGGCACCATTTATGAATAGGAATCTCTCCTTAGCTATCCTGTATGATGGGGATATGGGTAGATAAAGGCAATATTGAGCAATGTGTGAATTTTTCGCATGCAAATAAATATTTTCATTCGGTTTCCATTACATTTTCTTATCGTTTCGCAATAAGCAAATCGGTGGAGAAAACTATTGGAAACTAATGATTTTATACGGCTGGACAGTGGTTTAGTTCTACTTTCAAATGCAATTAGTTTGGTTTGCCCAATTTTGAGTTGTTGGTCGTAGAAAAGTGAATAGCTCATAAAATATAAATGATAACTTACTTTCAAAGACAAAATTACGTAGGTATTTTTATAATACATAAAAAATTTAGAGCTTGTCGATGACGAGAAATAGCTACCGAAAAAGTTATCGACAATGCATTGATTTTAAGATGTCTTCATACAAAAACCATACATATCTCATTAAATGTTATACATTGAGAGTTGATTTCTTCTGCAAACATGCTTGTTTTAATATTAAATAAAACTTTGTCGATGAACACCATTTTCAAGTATTGTTTAAAAAAAATTCTTAATCCAATCATTCCTTGTTAAAAACTTGGTCTAGTGACTCATTCAGTCCGATTGTGTTCGACCTAGTGACCATAAAATATGTCTCTATATCTCAGTAATTCTGGGTATTTGAAACATGAGGTCTGGCTGGCTACAGGAATCCCCCGAATATTTACTTTTTGTTTCTTTTATATAATTATTCTCGTTTTGGATGGATCGCTTCCAGTTGAGCTGACTGATTAGTAATCATGGCTAGTGGCCGTTATTTTGGGATGAATGGTCAACGTATAATGGATCAAAACATTATCGTTACGATGAATGGTTTATTTTTGAATATATCAAATGATCCATTTAGTTGAATATACATTCAACAAAAAAAGCTTCCTGTATGAAGTAATGAAATTGAGTTGTTAGTGGAATGCTCAAAAACAGCAAAAGGATTATCTAGGGTATGAGTACTTAAGGGGGTTACACTTTGATACATCTTTAGTGGGATTGACACTGATGAAGACTGTTCATTGTAGTCAAAATACGTATCTGTCATGGATACAGGAATGAATTAAGTGGAATTAAATGGAAGGTAACCCGGTTTTGACAAGGCTCGGTAGCTCAGTGGTTACCGTTTCTGCTTACTGAGCTGAAGGTTGGGATTCAAAGGTGTGTTTGGTCTCTAGTAGCAACTTCGAGTAGGACTTCGAACTAATCATCCTTCCCTTCGCAACAGATTGAATTAGTGTGCTTGTAGATTGAAAATGGAAAGCTAATCCTATGCACCATTTATGTGCTTCTCTGTGCAAGTGGATTAGTTCTGATCAATCACGGAGAAGAAACTATGAAATGCACGGCCCTAAACAAAAAGAAAGATAACCCTTCCTGTAGTTTTGCTACTGAAGATTTAACCTCAAATATGTGATCACAACTTTAAAAAAAAATCGAACATTGATCACTTTCTCTTTTTTTTTATTAAAAACTGGGAAATTGTTTAGATTTGTACCGGGAAAACCGGGAATTTCAAAATGAAAGATCACTCCACCTTTTCGAAATACTAATTATTAAAACCCTCTTGGTACCTTATCCTTTCAGAATTACCTAGAAGCTGTTTTCTGAATTCTCTTCAAATCAAATTCAAAACTACGATGGAATTTTGCTGAAAATTTTCCTGAAACTCTCCTAAGGATTCACCTGAAATATTGGTTGAAATTATTCTCACGATTCCCTTAGACAGTCTCCCAGCATTTATAAAAATTTTCGTCTCAGTATTCCCTTTAAGTTATCTTCATAATTTCCTCGTGATTCTTCTCAGGATTTGCTAGCATTTATCCTTTGAATCAATTTTTTCCGATTTTTCAGGAATGCTTCCAGAATTTTCTCTTTGAAATGTATATGTAAAACTCCTTTAAACATTTAAACATTGTTATATTCTCTTGGAATTATCCTCAGAATTGTTTTGAAATCATCCGTAGAATTCGGTCCCTTGGATTTCTTCTTGGGAAGTAGGCCACTTTAAATTCTTAATTTTAATTTTAAATTAATTCTAAAAAAACATGAACATAGCAGGCTATCATATCATACACTTGATGTCACTCTCATCCTGTACCAACACAACATAAGACAACTTGTAATGAGTGCGTTTTGATGACGGCAGCACCGTACAAGATGAAGATCGAAAACACTCGAAAGTGATAATTATATTGCTTCTCTCGCACGCCGTCACCGGTGGTAACAACGTAAACCGCCGCAAGGTGACTACCTTCACACTGTTTTGGGTACATACACCTACCCATATCAAATAGCAAAGTACCGTACCGAATCTACGCACGAATTCAACCAATGACGAAGCTATCTATCCACCCACCAGCGGAACAACAGAAACCACCCACCGCCTCCATATAGCCATAATACATATTTCCCAGCCCAACCAGCCAGCATCCCAGCACGGACGAGTGTATGCTCTCACCGTGGGAGGTTGGTAGCTTTGGTTCACATTTTTGCACAAATGTTGTTACCCTGGCTGGGCTCTCCTGGCCCGTCCGTGCTCGGCCTGTCGGACCCTTTTCGAGTGTAACGAGCAAACGAGACTCGGCGTCGTCTTCATGGCCACCGTCTTCATCGTCATCGGTCGTTGTCATCCCAGTGATTCCCAGCAAAACGGAAAATTGTGCGATTAAATATTCATTTCGATCTCTGAGAAATATGCTTATTTCCCCCTGTCTCAAGTGTCCTTCATAAATTTTGCACGGTAAAGTCACTGTCGCTACCGAAACTGCCGGGACACCCTTAAATTTTCGGCTTGCTTTGTTTTCGTGCCCGACAACGACAACGACGCAACAGTGTCCGTCCGGAGTAGGCCACGATTTGTGTACTGGAGAGCAGCCACTGGGGAAAACTTTTAAATGAAGTGATCTATGGGTATTTCGTTCTCACCCAGTTCGCTACTAAATACGTATACATAGGTATACACATCATGTAGGTCTCCTATTTCAGGATTGTTTTTCTGCGGTACTGAAAAGGCACGAAAACGGGTACGGTTGGGTGAGATCCCTGCCACTTGTTGGGTGTTTTTTTTTGCAAATAAAGGCTATGGCACGGGAGAACTCCACCGTGGGGCAGCGAACGCGAAGAAACACCAGTTCGCAATTAAACGCGAAAGCCTTTTTCCAGGAATGATTATACGCCTGGCTTGCTTCGACGGCCGTGTAGGGTGATTCTTTGGCTTCAACAATTTTGGCAGCTGCCAGAAATAGCGGGCTGCTGCGATGGCAATGATGATGATAATGATGGCTGGCTGACTGCGGCTGAGAAGTGATGAGCAACTCATTTAAATTGATTTGCGTCTGATGAAGTCTCTGACCTTGCTCTTGATTTTCGGTTGTTTTGCGTTGGTTGAAGTGAAGAGGCAAGGATGTAGATATAATCTTTCACTACTGTTCCCTTAATGACCCTTAGGCGAGTTGAGCGCGAATTTCATTAGTCTCCGCTGCCGGGCGGAGATCATGTTGCGTGTTGTTGCAAAAGGCTGCCTGCTTCAAACTTCGTCAATTAGGAAGCCACGGGAGTGAAAGCTTTGCGGGCTAATAAAGATCCCAGGGGCGGGAGCGTTCTTTGAATTTTGGATGAAATTAGCGAGTTGTTCGTGAAACTTTGTCGGAGATTATGAGTCGTTGTAGTCGAAGTTGGAAAGGGAATTGATCGTTTTAACCTAAAGATGGGCATTAAGCAAGAAATGATAATCAACCAATCAATCAACTTTTTTCGCTTAGGGAGTTTCATTCATGTCTTCTCATTTTTTATGAATTACTGAACAACGTGATGTTTAAAGCATGAAAAAATTTAATTTCCAAGTCATTTGTATGCTCGCCTCAGATTCACAAAGTTTTTATTTATTACAGCGAAAAAATAATGTGTCATAACTGAAATCTCAACAAAAGTCCCGCTGAGGACCCTCGTCAATTTTTTTTTCTCATCAAAATTAAATGCCGAGTCAATCGGAGGCGCTAATTTCAGAAATAAAAAATAAGT